GCTAGCAAGATCGAAATGGCTTTTGGGGCATCTATTTTGGACTGTAGCATCAGTTCTCCTTCCAACCAGGCAATGAGTTTGTTGATCTCCTGGAGTAATGTCATCATCTCTGGAAATCTCACTTCTGACACTAGTGTAACATCAGCTGCGGACATAAACTGCATTTTCTGCACTCTGTCGAGCTGCTTTTTTATTGAACGCACTCATAACAAACCCGCCAACCCTGACCTATATACATCCCGCCCAGAGGGGCATTATGGGGGACCCTGCCAAGTGTCTCTCCACCCAGTGCTGCAGTATTTTTAGCCCTGTCATGTTCTTATCAGCAGTGTTGCACATGTAGTGAGATGACCTGATTTTACAGGTCATGCACATGAGCACGTAAAGAAGGGTACACTCTGTATATCTGTGGGGCTTTGTTTTCATAGCTACTCCAGTTTTGGATAGACCAGCCAAGCTGTGACGGTTTATTCCCCCAAAACCACAGCTGAGGGGGAGGGGTGCTGTGGTGATAGCGGCAATGGTGGATAATGTTGAAACAGATAGGACTGCATTGATATGATAAGATTAAATATAACACAATCAAGGACAGTGCATGTTAGGCGATTGAACTTCAATCATTCCTTTAATCCTTTTATTTAGGTTTATTCACAGTGATTAATAATTTACCAATGCATGACAGGGCATCTCACTGTCTCACTGTTTCCTGAGTTTGTACCCAACAAAATGTGATCTATAGATTACAATGAGGTCTCAATAGCTAGCATTAGGAGTGTTTTAGACATGACATCTTGATCAGCTGTATATCAGATTTGTTTTGCAGCTCAGTTGGAAGTTTATGGAATTAGAACGTGGAACTTTGTCCTTATGCTGCTTGGTGACTGTTAGAGGGTTTTTGGGGGGAGGGTTTCGGTGAATCCAAACAGCACTCAGGGGTGGTGGATCCCCCATAGAAAGCAGGAAAATAGTAGGAAGGAAGAGGAGATGTACAGGGGGGTAGAAAGGAAGAGAAAGGACAGAGAAGGGCGGGACAGACAGTGAGGGTTTTACAAGAAATGAAAGCATTCTACAGGTGGAGAGAGGAAGTATTTATATGCTGGCAGCAGGGGAAGGTGGTGTTAGGGGCGTGGTCCTGCTCCTGAACCTCCGATGTTCATCTTCATATAGAGTATGGTGACAGTAAATTTAGGGCATTATGTCAGAGGCTTCTTTTCAACCACTATAAATATCACCTGCAGAGCACAGGTGCTTTGTGAGACAACAGACTGTGTGTTGATCTGCCTGTTGTTGTTGACCACACCAAAGCTCATTGAGTAAACTCCCTGTAATGTGAACTCTTGAGTGCCGGTGAGTTTGCAACATTTGCCCCTAAGACACTAAATGCTTTTGGGAGTTTACAATTACCCTTTGTTTCCTAGCCTGTTTACTTCATGCTTGCTTTTCTTCACCCTGATATACAGTAATATACATTAAATCTGTACATGGCAGACCACAGCTTTTAACTTCAACAGTTACTTGTGAGAAAACTACAGCACAGCATATTTAGCTTTGGTTAATGAAAGATTTGAGGAGATAGAGGCAGAATGAGAATGTGTAAAAATATGAACAACACATGTAACAACCCAGCATGCAACACTAATAGATAATATATTTACCAATGTTATTGACAGCAAAATGACAAGTGGATTACTTATAAATGATATTAGTGATCATCTACCAGTATTTGTGGTTTATGAGGGCCAGTATAGAAAAGAGAGGCCAAAAACAAATCTTTTCTATAGGAGGGTGACGAATGAACATGCTGTAAGGAGGCTAAAAGAGGATTTTATGGGGCAAAACTGGGAATCAGTTTACAGAGAAGAAGACTTAGATAAAGCATATGAGCAATTTTTAAATATATTTAAGAAAGTATATGACAGGAACTGTCCTCGTAAGCAGTATAAAAACAAAAGGAATTACAATGGGAAACCGTGGATGAGTAAGGGATTACAGAATGCATGTAAAAAGAAAAATACGTTATATAAGGAATTCATAAAGGACAGATCAAAGAAGGCGGAAGAAAAATATAAGTCATATAAGAACAAATTAATTGAGATTTTGAGGAGATGTAAGAAACAATATTACGCTAAAGTATTAGAGGATAATA